GGTTATCCAGAGCAGAAGACCAGCCTGCTCACTTCTGCCTGCCAAGGGAGCTGTGTCAGTCTCTCCCCACCTCGGTGTGGGGGTGGCACGGGGCGGCTCCCCATTGCCAGCTCATGGCCCAGGGATGCGGGGCGGGAGGGCCGGGGTGGGAACCAACAATCCAGGGAGCCTCAGCTCAGTTCTGATTTGGGTTTCGGTCCAAAAAGGCTTTACAAGGAAATGAAATTTCATCTCCCCATTTTGCAGGGGAGACAGGAGGAGAAGCAGAGCTGGGGAAAGACTTACCCAAGGTCATACAGAGCCGGCTTCCAGTCCCCTCCCCCGCCCCCGCTCTAACCCACTAGCCCCCACTCCCCTCCCAAACCCTGGTTGTACATGGCGACACTAACACAGAAGTGAGGTTGCCTGGAGGTATGTCGTCCCCTTGCAGAACAGGGAATTGAACAAAATCCAAACAGCTGACAACCAGGCAATGCAAACAGGTTGTAAAAGGAGATGAGGAGCATGTACATTTCAACCACTGTGGGGCTGGCAGACTTAAGGCATGTATGTTAATGGGGCATACTGGGGCTGTGCCAAAAGAGGGCAGAGATAAGGTGACAAAGGCAGCCTTAACTGTGCATTTCCCAGATTTCAGAGATTTGTATTATGCTCCACTCAGCCGTCCTACAAGGGCACAACCGACCCCCAATCAACCCTGACTCTGTGCTAACATTGAGGTTTTGCCATCAGCTCTCCTACCTTGTCGAAAAGGGAAAGACACGCTGCTGGTGGGAATTAGTGGTGTAGTAAAGTATTCATTACCCTTATGCTATTTATTACTACTACAGCTTCTTTCGGGCGGATGATTCTTGTTGGTTTGGTCACACGTGAGAGAGAGAGAGAGAGAGAGAGACGCTTTTCTTAGCTTTTCTCGTTAAAATAACTAAACATACGGATACAAACAGAGAGAGAGCTCTTAGGCTCTGGCTATCGGCACAGTCACCAGCACCTACAATTTGTGGAAAACAAAGATCACAAGCCGGTTGACCTCGCTACGGGAAACCGGCTGTACCCAAATTCCAGGGCACGTTTCCAGCTCTTTTCTGCCCTGTCTTCACACACCCCGCCCTTGAATTCAGGACCTTATTTTGAATATTTATATTCTCCCATTTGCCCTTCAGCAGATTCCACACTAATTAGAGTTTCAAACTCATCAGCATTATACGCTGTAGCGTCCCTACAAAGCCGTGACAACAGGAGATGTCACATCCGGCAATTCGCATCACAAGCCAGCCCCGATGCAGGTGCGTTCCCGCTCCAACCTGGCCCCCTCTCCACAACCATTCGAGGATGATTGCTTTCCATAAAACCATGGTGGGTTATCACTGGCGGATCTGCAGGTGGCTAAAAAGACTGAGCTGAGATCCACGGATCTTGTCCCGACGGGGGCAGATGTCTCTCAATGGAAGGGGTGGATCTGGATCGTCAAGTCGGGCAGCATCATGTTCTTTCCTCCTTTCCCATTTTCTCTGTTGGATCTTGAAATCCTGGGATCGTCCCCATAAGGTCCTTTTCCATTTTGGTCAGTTGAGGGCTTGGGTCTCCCATGAGTTTGGGTCAATATTGCACATCTTCAGCTTGGTTCTGAGGGTGTCTTTGAAGTGGTTTTTTTAGCCCATCCTTCATCTGCTGGCCGTGGCTCAGTTGGGAGAACGTGACTGACTTCAGGAGTCAATCTTCTGGCTGTTGAAGAACATGCCCAGCCCAAGGGTGTTGGCGGGGGATGATCAGCACGTCAAGGATGGAGGTTTTGACTTGGTTGGTGGGTCCATCGTCCTGCTTGATTCGGCAGATCCTGTGGTAGCACCATTGACAGTAGTGTTCAAGAACCTTGAGGTGTCTATGTAACGCCAACAGATGCTGGTCATCAGCAGGTGGGATCAAACCAGGGACCTCTGGAGCTTAGTGCATGAGCCTCTACCGCATGAGCTAAGAGCCAACTGGCCATTAGCGAAGGCAGTAGAGCAGACTCATTTGATCTCTCTCTCAAAGTGGTCTCGGTGCCACTAGATGGGACAGAGCACCACACCCAGGAGGTGTGTGGGTTACATCTACTCTACGTGACCCAGGTTCGAGCAACGGAACAGATTGCAGGGAGACCAATGGCCTGGCCCGCGAAGAGCTTGGGTTGAGTCTTGAGGTCACAAGCTTCAAAGGCACGTTTTCTCGATTGTCCAAAAGCTGCAGTGGCACCTTGAGAGCCGGTTGAAGGGTGGAGTTTGCGGCGGGGCCAGCAGAGGGGTCACAGCTGGTTCCCATCGCGAAATATCAAGAGATGTTTGAGAGAAGGGAGCTTTCCATTGGGCTGGACCCGTCTCTGCCACATGGCAGCCGGTCAGATCTTGTGATGTTTCGGTGTCATCCAGGATGCATTTGCTGGTCAGCCGCGAACCCTCCAAATTCCCCAATTGCAGCCATGCAGATGCCCCGAGAAAACCAGCACGGCTCCCAGAAACAGCTCCACAGCGCGGTGCCGATCTGCTCTCCTACATCGACTGCTCTACGTGGACTGTACAACTCAGCTCTGGCGCCCAGAGCTACGCCAGCAACCCCCCACCATGGCGTAGACGCAAGCTATGCTGATGGAAGGTGAAATCACCTCCCCAAGTGGCGGTCGCTTAGTCAATGGAAGCAGACGGCAGACAACCTAGCCATGGCTACACTACGTCGTTCAGGGGGGCAGTGGATTTTTTCATACCGCTCACCCATGTAGCTGTATCGACCTATATTTGAAGTGTAGACAAGGCCTCAGTCCAAAATGCCTTTATCTTGGGTGGAGCCTCGCACTTAACTTATCGTTAAGTTAATTGAAGGGTGAGCTCACGGCTATCAATCTCAATGAGGGCTGTGATTCACCCAGTCATTACGCCCTCTCAGTTTAACAGCACCCGGCAGCAGATGGAAACTGGTTTTGGGGTGGAGAAGAGGCTGTCACTCAGGAACCCCTGGGTCTAATGACCCCAGATTTGGATCTCCAAGGCTGTCCTGCATCCCCGTGAGCCGCACCAAATTTAAAGCAAGCCAAGTAACGATTCGGCTTCTAGAGGGTGTGGAAACCCACTAGCCCTTTTCCGGCCTTGGCGCAGCCGCAGTGTTAAAAAACAAGGGGACGTTTTCTTTAATACCGTTCTCGGTTTGGGTCCCCCGAAGATTTTGTGGGTTCCACGCACTCCATTGGCTAAAACTCAACACACCAAGGTCATTTTGATCCACAGCACGTCAGTCATTCGCTTTCTCTCGCTCTGAGCAAAAAACAATGTGCTTAGAAAGTATCAGGGGGTAGCCGTGTTAGTCTGTATCTACAAAAACAACAAGGAGTCTGGTGGCACCTTAAAGACTAACAGATTTATTTGGGCATAAGCTTTCGTGGGTAAAAACCTCACTTCTTCGGATGCATAGAGTGAAAGTTACAGATGCAGGCTTTATATACTGACCGCTATACGTACCTACATGCCTCCAGCTTCCATCCAAGACACATCACACGATCCATTGTCTACAGCCAAGCCCTAAGATACAACCGAATTTGCTCCAACCCCTCAGACAGAGACAAACACCTACAAGATCTTTATCAAGCATTCGTAAAACTACAATACCCACCTGGGGAAGTGAGGAAACAGATTGACAGAGCAAGACGGGTACCCAGAAATCACCTACTACAGGACAGGCCCAACAAGGACAATAACAGAACACCACTGGCCATCACATACAGCCCCCAGCTAAAACCTCTCCAGCGCATTATCCACGATCTACAACCTATCCTGGAAAATGATCCTTCACTCTCACAGACCTTGGGAGGCAGGCCAGTCCTCGCTTACAGACAACTCCCCAACCTGAAGCAAATACTCACCAGCAACTACACACCACACCACACCAACACCAACCCAGGAACCAATCCCTGTAGCAAACCTCGTTGCCTACTCTGTCCCCATATCTACTCTGGCGACACCATCAGAGGACCCAACCACATCAGCCACCCCATCAAGGGCTCATTCACCTGCACATCTACTAATGTTATATATGCCATCATGTGCCAGCAATGCCCCTCTGCCATGTACATTGGCCAAACCGGACAGTCCCTCCGCAAAAGAATAAATGGACACAAATCGGACATCAGAAATGGTAACATACATAAGCCAGTAAGTGAACACTTCAATCTCCCTGGTCATTCTATTACAGATTTAAAAGTCACTATCATTGAACAAAAAAACTTCAGAAACAGACTTCAAAGAGAAACAGCAGAACTAACATTCATTTGCAAATTTATCACCATTAATCTGGGCTTGAATAGGGACTGGGAGTGGCTGGCTCATTACAGAAGCAGCTTTTCCTCTCCTGCAATTGACACCTCCTCATCTATTATTGGGAGTGGACCACATCCACCCTGATTGAATTGGCCCTGTCAACACTGGTTCTCCACCTGCCAAGTAACTCCCTGCTCTCCATGTGTCAGTATATAAAGCCTGCATCTGTAACTTTCACTCTATGCATCCGAAGAAGTGAGGTTTTTACCCACGAAAGCTTATGCCCAAATAAATCTGTTAGTCTTTAAGGTGCCACCAGACTCCTTGTTGTTTTCGTGCTTAGAAACTTTTTGAAAAACGGCTCTTTTGGGGCGGGCGATATCTCCAGCGCCCGGCTCTCAAATGCTCCCAAATCGGGGTCACTAACTCGCCTCCACACCCTCCTGAGGGGCGCCACATTTCAAAGGGCTCCGCCGAAGCTGGTGGATTTCGGAGGCCTTCAAAACAGGCAGCCTTTAACTAGAAGTCCCTGACGCAAACTGAATTACCATGCGGGAGGCGGCTGCTGGGAACAGACACGCCTGGGCGGCTCCCCCTGGAGCCGTTCCCTGCAGGATGCGCTGGGCGGGGGCCTTGGCTCCCTGCCCCGGAGCCGGCATAAAAGGGGGGGCCCCGAGCGGCTGCTCCGACACCCAGCCAGACGCAGCCTCGGCCACCATGAAGCCGCTGCTGCTCCTCGGGCTCCCGCTTCTCCTCGTCCTGCTGGCCGCGACGCCCCCCGGCTGCCAGGGCGTCATCATTTCCCGGTGCCGGCTGGTCCAGATCTTCAGGGAGAACGAGCTGGAGGGCTTCGCCAGGAAAACGGTGGCTGATTGTGAGTAGCTGCCCCCATCTACCCACCGCTGCCGGGGCCGGCTCCCCCCAGGGCTCCCACGCCCAGCTCCTCGCAAAGAATTAAAGGGCCAACTCTAGCTCCCAGCCAGCTCTTAGCAGGGACCCAGGGGGCAGTCCCCCTGCCCTGGGGGGTCCCTCTGCTATACGGGAGATGGAGGCCACCCGGTGTGGCTCAGCGGCCAGGGCGTTCTTCCCTCCGCACCCATTCGAAATCCCTTTTCCGTGGCAGGCGTGGGGGCTGGGGGGAGGACCCTAGATTTCCTACATGCCGTCTGCGTGCTCTAACCACTAGGCACAAGGCTGCCCCTGGCATACGCGCGCCCGGCCCAGTATGGAGCTGGGGAGGTGGATTGAAGGGCAGGGGCCCCAGGGGAGTTAGGCACCTCCAGGGTTAGGCAGCCGCTGAGCGGCGGGTTGTGGATCGAGCCCCCAGGGGCTCGGCCAGGAAGGGGTCCCGCCCCCTCACCCGGCCTCTCCCCGCACGCAGGGGTCTGCCTGGTACAGCACGAGAGCAGTTACAACACCAGGGCCATCAACCACGACAAGGACGGCAGCACGAACTACGGGATCTTCCAGATCAACAGCAAGTACTGGTGCGCCGACGGGCAGACGCCGGGGGCCACCAACGGCTGCCACATCGCCTGCAGCAGTAAGAGGGGCAGGGAAGGGGGGCAGGGACCCACCCGACACGGCCATGCCACCCCCCCTCCACTCCTCGCTCTCCATCCATCCAGCCGTCCGTCCTCCCCTCTGGCCCCTCCACCCACCCCTCCATCCATGTCTGTCCACGCCTCACACCTCATGTCCCTCCATCTGTCCATCCGTCCACCCACGGATCTACCCCCACTCCCGCCTCTCCATCCATCCTCCCGCGCATCCACCCACCCGCCCCACACACCTCCCTCAGTCCCCACACCCTCCTCTGACCCCTGGCTCACCCCACCCATCTCTCTGCCCCCCAGAGCTCATGGATGACAATATCGCGGACGACATGAAATGCGCTAAGCTCATCGCACAGCAGGCGCGTGGCCTCACGCCCTGGTGAGTTTCACTGGTACGGGGGGGGGGTGTAGGGTAAGGAGGGGAAACGGCCCAGGTGCATCCCAGGAGGGAAGCAGCAAGTGGGGAGAGCTGGGCGTAGAACCCAGGAGTCCTGGTACCCCTGCTCTAACCACTAGCCCCCACTCCCCTCTTGTAGTCAGGGAAAGAACCCAGGAGTCCTGGCTCCCAGCACCCCCTGCTCTAACCACTAGATACCGCTCCTCTCCCAGAGCCAGGGAAAGAACCCAGGAGTCCTGGCTCCCAGCGCCCCCTGCTCTAACCACTAGATCCCGCTCCTCTCCCAGAGCCGGGGAGAGAACCCAGCAGTCCTGGCTCCCAGCCCCCCTGCTCTAACCACTAGACCCCAATCACCTCCCAGACCCCCCGACACTGATAACAGAGTGTAGGGTCCCATGCCACCCACCCCTCTCTGCCACGCCTGCCCTCTCCACCAGGGCCAGATGCGCCACGTCCAGCTGGCCACGGGCAGGGCCAGGACACCGGCCCGCTGGCCCCTTCTCCCCCCTGACTCACTCTCTGCTCTTCTCCGGCAGGGTCGCGTGGAACAATCACTGCAGGGGGAAGGATTTGAGGCCATACGTCAGTGGATGCTAGAGCCCAGAGCCAGCCGCACGGACAGCTGGGGGTGGGGCATGGGATGGAGGGGTAGACAGAGGGGTGCAGCTGGGGATAAAGGGGTGTGTGGGGCTGGATATATATTGGGGTGCATGCGAGGATGGAGGGATAGCTAAGTACAGGGATTAATGGCAGATTGAGGGGGCAGGGGGCCAGGGAGCTGGCCAAAGGGCGGGGCATGGCAGGGGGGGCCGGCGCGTGGGGACGGACGGACATCGGCTCAAGGGGGCTGAACAGCAAAGGCCTGGAGGCAGCCTCAGGCCCCACCGCAGAAGCCGCCCTAGATGCCTGGTTGACTCCAGCCTGGTCTTGGCCTCACAAGGGCTGCGCCCCCAAAGCGCCCAGATGTGGGCGGCTGCGACCCCTCCCCCATCCCCAATAAACACTGAACCCCCTGCACCAAGAGCCACGAGTCCTTGTTTGGTGGGCAGGGGCATCGTGTCCGGGTGAGGGGCATTTGAATCATTGTGTCGGGGCTGGGAGCGAGGACTCCTGGGTTCTCTCCCCAGCACTGGGAGGGGAGTGGGATCTAGTGGTTAGAGCAGTGGGGACTGGGAGCCAGGACTCCTGGGTTCTCTCCCCAGCTCTGGGAGGGGAGTGGGGGCTAGTGGTTAGAGCGGGCAGCGGGCCAGGACCCCTGGGTTTTCGCTGCACCTCTTGGCCGGGAGTGGGGTCTATAATCCCTGTCAGTCACACTGCAGATCAGCGAAGCGAGGAGGCTGCTAATAACTACAGCTGCCCATCCGGATACTGCATCTATAGGCGCACCCTCCGATCCCGCCTTCCACCCACGTAGATCCTGGTGCATTGATCTTCCTACCCTCCACCCTTCCATCCACCCACCCATCCATCCATCCTTCCATCCTTCCATCCACCCACCCATCTATCCATCCATCCTTCCACCCACCCACCCATCTATCTATCCACCCATCCACCCACCCATCCATCCATCCATCCTTCCACCTACCCATCCATCCACCCACCCACTCACCCATCCTTCCATCCACCCACCCATCTATCTATCCACCCTTCCATCCATCCACCCATCCACCCACCCATCCTTCCATCCACCCACCCATCTATCCATCCA